TTAGCTTCGGAATGAAAGGAAGGATATATGTTTCATCCATTGTCACATATCGACGCAAAAATTCCGGATTGTTATGTTTAAACATGGCCAAACACTGCTCAGAATCATGAAGACGTTCTTGTTTTTGGTCAACAGTGAGCTCGCGCGGGGACTTTGAATAGAGCTTTCCCACAGTCAAATGCTCATGCAATGGAAAGCCATCATGTTCTTTTGATAACTTTACAATGTCAGTTACTTCACTTTTCGATCATTAAAAATGATTTTGTGGATTTTTTTAAATGTTTTCTGGTGTTCACTGCCTCATTTCTGAATTAATACAACATGTTATCTGATTCACAGTTGGGATTCAGAGAAGGAAAATCAACTTAGGATGATATAAAAAAAACTAACAGTTCGAATATACAAGGCTATATATTTAAAAAAACTTCCATCGGAGTATTCGTAGATTTGGAAAAAGCCTTCGATACTGTTGATTACTCCGTTCTATTGCAAACCTTAAAGGATAAAGGATATGAAATCATATTTAACTGAAAGAAAACAACACGTGCGAATTCAAAACTACATTAGCAAGGAAAAAATAATTACATGTTGGGTACCGTGTTAGGGCCCTTGCTCTTCACTGTTTACCTGAACAATATATCGATCACAGGAGCTGAATGTGAAATGATAAGTTTTGCGAACGACACTGTCATGTTCTATGAAAGTGACACTTGGTAGGAATTGAAACAAAATCGAAAATGACTTTCCCCAGGTGATAAAATGACTGAATTATAGATTGCTGTCAATTAATTTAGGAAAAATCATTTATTTACCTTTCAGCAGCAATAAAACTCATTCACCGCACTTCAATCTAATTTCTATCGGTAATAACTTCACCATTATGTCAGCAGATAAAAGTAAGTATTTTGGTATAATGATTGATTAGCACTCCAAATGGAACTCATATATAGATTATCTAGTAAAAAAACTATGATGTATTCTATATAGATTCAGGAGAATAGCAAACATATTTGAAAGTAGACATCTAAACCTATTTCAAGCCACTTGAAGTAACGCAAAAACGATTCCTAAGAATGTTACTTTTGAAACCCAACAGATACGCGAGTGATGCTCTCTATGAAGAGTTTGAGATTTTTTATATCAGACAAATATTTTTTAACCACATCGCTTCAACTCAGTTCTTCATTAAGACCGAACTTATGCCTATACTACGAGACAAAAAAATATTATTCAGTACTTTTTGCTTCGTAATCAATAGGACAAATATGCTATCAATATCTAGCACCAAAAGTATTTAATCTCCTTCCAGAAACACTGCAAAACGAAACATCAGCATTCAGAATCAAAAAAGATTTAAAACTATTTATGAAACAATGGGCTCGTCATTATATACGGTCAATAATTGAAAATTGAAAGTATTTTACATATTCATAATGTGCACTTAGTAAAAGTTCATATGATAGGTATTTATTATTCAAAATTTTACATGTTAACATTTTCATATATATAGAAACACATTATTATCACTTAGAAATTTCAGAACCAATTATTTTATCTATACTGACTGCCATGTTGGTCGGTGGTTCAAGCCCCAGTCTGAACGATCGATTTCCACTTGATATCGTCCAATCAGTGTTAGGAATCACACGTTAAAAGGTAAGACCTCGTTAATCCTTATCTCGCACAAGTTTAGACTTTTGAGGGTTGTCGTTCGTAGGGGTGCAACAGCTGGTTAACGAAAAAACAGATTTTTTAAAAACAGAGATGAAGTATTTATAATATGTAATTCTATTACAAGCGAACGTTGTATATGAGAGTGTGTATATTTGTGTGAATATATTGTATGGTAGTCTGCATTATTATTTATACTTATTTTGCTCTCACAATAATTGTATAATTGATTTCATTATTAGTAATTTCAGTAAAGTACTCTCGAATAATATGTTTATGTATACTCATGGTGTATACGACCACACTCAAGCAGTACCTACTGCTTTTGTGGTATATTCTTGTTTATACACAATAATGTGCATTTGTTAAATTATACTCTGTAGTTATTTTTCTTGTGTGAATAAATATTATTATCATTATATTATTGTTATTTGGACGTCCACTGCGCTCTGCACCATCGGTGTTTCTACGACCACTTTTGAAGTCATAAAAAAAAGTTCGATTGTTGTTTTTGAAAAAACGGTGTCCTTAACACAGTTTCCAAACTACTGCTTTGCTTGAATGGTATTTTTCCATCAAGAAGCAGTGTGAAATTGAAACACGAAATTGTTTTTGGTCCATTGTTTTGAAAATAACAGAAGTAATGTCACTCACAGATAACTCACAAACTCAGGAGTAGAATATCATGAAATTTTGAAAGCTTTATTTCGAAGGGAAAGCGGTGAATGCAAATAAACTAGCGTCATCTATGTGTAAGGCGAGACTTTTCAGCCCAGTATCAAACAGGTTCACATCAGGAGTTCCTAATCCATCCCGCTTGAGGCAGCCATTTTGAGCAATCCAAAGGTTTTTTAACTCACACAAAAATGTTCAAGTAATACATATCTCACAACAAACGTCATTGAGATGACGATCATATTAAAGAGATTATGTATCTCTTTACGAACATGGTTGTTTTAGAACTGAATATTATTGGAGTTTTTTCCCAACACCAAATCGTTATTTTTAACACCTCGACACGTGTTTCGATCACCAAGTGATTTATATACTCCGGAAAAAGTAATTCGTTGATTCATTTTGAAATATTTCTCTCGACAATGGCAGCACTACCTGCCACAGTGTTTATTCCGTTCATTAAATTTAATTCGAAATATACGAATAGTTTTCAAGTTTGGTAACTACTTCTATACTGAAATAATTAGCTTCGCACAGTAGAAATGCTCGGAAAATACGAAATCGTGAAAGTTCTGGTGCAGTATGATTTGGGTTCTATATTCCAATTTGATGTTCATCTCATTAGCAAATGCATCAAAGACGCGACTGTTCTTTTGTGAATTCGAACCATCACATTCAAATTGAAAGAAAATATGCTTTGGAGACCTCAGTTTTTTCGAAAAAAAATTTCTGGCTTTCCACTTCTCCCTCACTGAACAAAATCATGAAAATAAAAGTCTTCATGAAGATATGTAGAACTTATACGGACGTTTTTTTCAGATACAAACTGGATTTGTTCTGGTGTGTCTTGAATTGCATTACGATGAATGAATTGAGGACCTCTAAACGGGTTGGTCGATTTTTGGAATCGAAGCAGCAATGGACATGGAACTAAAAGTTTTTCCAAATAGGATGTCATTCAACCCTTATTGTTATTTGAAAAATAGAGGACAACACTTCTTCTTGGACAACTGAATGTTTTGTTATTCTCTCTCATTCACAATTTGTTACCTTTGGTGTAGCAATGAATATTATTGGAATTTTATCCCAACACCAAACAGTTATTTTAACACCTCGACACGTGTATCGATCACCAAGTGATCATCGTCAAGAGAAAGATGACCGTGAATATATTTCATTATATATGAATATATATTATTTCATTCATTTTCATTACTTTTGTTCCCAAATTCACTACAGCACTCAATCGCATAATCGAAAATGATTTTTCTTCAAGAGAACTGAAATGCTCACTTTCCATTATCCCCAATTTTCATTACTTCGCTCACTTCGCTGCATTATATTTTCAACGGAACTGATTTGCGATATTATCGAAGGTTATTCAGAGTTTTTCAGGGCCCTAAGCGGATTCCAGAACAATTTTTTTCAGCGCGACATTTCCCACCGGATCTGAGAGAGAAAATATCAATCAATCGCTAACGCCAGATTTATTCATTGCTCTCAGCCGGTTTATAATTGATTGGATCGGTATCGATGACGGAGTTCTTCGCTTCGAAGTATTAGTGAGAATTGTTCATTGTATATCGTGAATGAATGGCAAATTTTTCAATTACTGACTCTATTCAACACCAAGAAAAATACCACGAAAATGCAATTCATAATACTGTTACATTTTCCTCCGTGGGTTTACTAATAATTGACCACACTTTACAATAAACAAACTCAAATTCATTTCACTCTTGATACAACAAAACACTTCAATTGAAACTTTAACTGAAACTATTGTTCAAATATCTGTCGCCTCATTAGATCGCTCTGTACCGCACTGTCCGCGAAACTTGACTATCACTTAACTCTATATAAATATGCTGGTGGTTAGCGTTCACATATCGCAATCGAAATGCCTCGACGGCGGTAGAGAGATCTTACGGAATTCCACCGGAATGGCGCGAACATCTAACAACCGCGAAACGTCGGCCGGGCTGGCACGGTCTTGGCCACGTCACAATTGATTTACGGCTGCAGTGGCGGCGGCGTTATCTTTTTTCTCGGGGGGTGATTCACAACAATACTCTCTAATCCAATTTACGCACTTTTCCTAATCACCAGGAATGCAATACTCATTTTGACTCACGTTTTACCATGAAAGTCTTCGAGTGATGAAAAAAACCAGTTTTTTTTTTTCATCTCCTGATATGAATGATTTTATATTACATTAAAGTATGTATGCAGCAATAAGTTGCCGAACATTTTAGATGTTTTGATTTTCATCATAATAATGATTCATTCATATAACTGTCTTTAAAAAATCGAATGATTATTGTACATGAAACCAAAAATATGAAGATAATACAAAGAATGTTGAAATTATAAACGATCAGTCAATGTGAACGTAAGTGAAATAGTCCAAATAATGTAAAGTAATTTTGTTTTTCGTACATTCTTTAGTCCTCATATAGCCAACAAATAATTTTTTGGTTGAGTGTTATAATGGTTTCATGGCAAAAAGTTGGTTTTTGAGTAACTTACTTCTCACGCCCTGCTGGCAAAAACTATTACCTTTGCGTTAGAGTATGAGCTGATGGGCGGAATAACTTCGATGAAAAAATAGGTTCGAAACAGAACAATGAAATGTCGCCTCAATCTAAATTTGGTTACTCACCCAAAAATCCAGGTATGGCTCCCAACGGCATAACGAATAAACTCACTAGCAAATCGGCAATGGCCAACGACAACAAGAAGTAGTTCGTAACGTTCTGCAGCCGCCTGTCCAACAACACCGCGAGGCACACAAGAATATTCCCCAGTCCTCCAGCTGTTATGAACACCACCACGAAAAGAAAACTCCAGTCATAATGAAACCTACTCCACGAAATGTCAGAACTATCCGTACACGACCAGAACACATCGTCACTTTTATTCGACAGATGGCACCGAGCATCTGGAACTCTGATAATGAAATCGCTGAGGTTAGACGAGAAGAAGCTCACCAAGAGGTCTTTGGTAGAGTTGACGTTGCAGCCGACGCAATGATACCAACCGTCCTCGCTGGAGTTGGACTCGCAGTAGAAGTCGTAGATTTTCTGGTTCAGCTCTGTGCAGACGAGTGTGAGAGCTGCTGACTGGTTGCAATGGGTGGTGGTGAGGTTTTGTGTGCATCTTGTTACATTTTCATCCGGTGGTCCAGAGTGTAACGATGATAGCATGGTTCAGTTGGAATCCATAGAACTCTGCAACAAATTAGAAGTTTGATTTCAGAAAACGAAAAAATATACACATTCACGAATTCTTCAGTTGATTTCCACTCAAACTAGAACCAAAGAGCATGATCGAAGTTTTTTTCGCGTTAATTAAAAATGAAGTTTTATGGCATTGAAGTTAGGGCAGTTATGTTCTCATTCATTTTCGTGACTTCATCAACAATGTGATAGGGGAAACAATTCAATATAATCGACACTAGTTCATAATGCAAACCCACGTGTCATGTTATCAGAGATGAACTTTTTTTATTCGCTTTCGACACTGAACCTATGAATTCAAATTTACTCAGGAGTTGGTCAGAGTCCAGAATAGGACCAGAATAGGAGTCCAGAATGTCGAAAGCTTTGGTATATTTCCTTCAGAAACCAGAGCCCAAATACAACGTATTAATGATCCAACACCAGATAACACTGTTTCCATTCGCCATAGCTATCTTCAGTTGTGTAAAAGGAACTACGAAAACTTCACTGGACTCAACTGTTCGTTTTGGACAAACTTGGGTAACTAAATTTGATGACATTCGTTTCCAAGAAGTCTTCATCTATAGGTTCGACAAAACACCTATCCATTCCATGGATATCAGTATGGGACTCACTGATTTGTTTTTGGGCCGCTAGTTTCGTCTAGTTTTCTTGAAGTAAAAGCTGCAGTGGAAGACAGGGAACGAATCTCACTCGGCAGATATTCATGGTTGGAATCTTCTGTCCCATAAATGGTGTCTTTGACTTTTCATAGCTTTCAAAAAGTCCAAAAGACCTACTCATCAAATTTTTCCATTTCACTACAGGCTGATTTAATCAATTGCAAGTCATTAGGAATTGCGATAGTATCAGAGATTCAAAATCGCCCTTAATGGCAAACTATAAGCTCTTTCATACTATTCATGCAAGTAAAATAATTGAGATAGCCTCTTTGTAAAACGATATAGAATCAACAATACGGGAGATATATTTCAGTTTATGGTTTTGGTATGAGAAAGCATCACATCTTTCTTCACGAATATTTCATCTGTGGAATCGACAGAGGATTCTAATACAAATTTAATGACAATCGAGCCTCCCAAATGCGGTTTATTGTAAAACCAAGCTTTAACAAGACTTGTCGAAAGCGATTCGTCTTTTGCCTTTCTCTGGATCTGTATTTTTCTGGGTTGTGGTTTCAATCCATAGTTTTGGGTTAACATCTTGAAATTATAAGTAAAGAGTTCAGTATGAGTATAGTTGAAATTGAAAGGCGTTCATTTTCAAGAGAAATGAAAAGAAATGTTTTTGCTTTCTACTCCTTCATTTTCTTTCTTATGATTTATCTGTTTATGGAAGTTCTTACATTATTTTCATAAAAATGATTTCTTCAGTGATTCAAGCTTGAACAATATCGAAAATATTTCCAAGACCAGCCTGTCTACATATCAACATACCAACTTCTTTGATACCTATTTCTCACAATCTTTTGGTATGTTGTCATCATTCAAATTTTTCAGAGCATCTTGGAAAGGGTCTATATCGATCCTTGCGGTATCCCGACGTTCATATCAAATATATCTGAATTATATAATCTATAAGGCTGTAGAGGTGCCACATACTTTTTTTCTGAAATAATTCTACGAAAACATAAAAAAGGATTTCTTACAAAGTCCATAGTCGAAGGTAGGTACCAGGTAGGATAATTAGTTTGATTTCATGATTTGCGACTAACATGGAGCAAAACGGCCCACCGGTGAAAGCGGGAGAAACTTGGTATACAGATAGCTTAAAGACCCAAGGAGTGGGAGCCGGTATATACGGAGGCAGAGCAAAGACGAGACTCGCACTCCCACATAGCAATAGATATTCCAGGTATATTTCATGAATATACATTTAAGGATATTGTATTATGCTATGAATATGCCATGGATATATATATCTTCTGGAGAATATTCCCTGGAAGTGCTCCTGGCGAACCTTTGATATATTTTAAGAATATTCCTTGGGAATATTCTTGGAATATCTTATAATATTCTTAGAATATCTAAGGTATATTCTATTAAGAATATTCCAGGAATAGAACCCGAGGAATATTCATAAAATATTCAGGATATTCTTAGTTTATTGTAGGAATATACAATAGAGAAACACCATAGAATATTCTTTAAATATATTTTATGAATATTCTAGGAATATTTGGAATATTCCAAGAATGTGACGAGTAACCGCTATTAGGCATGTATATATTGCATTTTGATACAAG